CTCCTGGTTCATCCTGGTTCATCCTGGTTGTAGGTGAACCAGAGCTGCAGCCTCTCTGCCGCCAGTTCGGTTCCAGCAGATAACGTGGATGCTGTGGAGCTCTGAGAGGAAACCAGCTGCCATGGAGCTAGATGAATGACTCCATTAGAATCACTTAGACTAATGTGTCTGCTAATGCCTCTCAGTTATTTTCTTTTCCTTCACGTGAACTTTTCCACAGATATTTGGAAGCTACTGAGGATTGTACCGTTGATAGGAAACTGTGGAGGTTGGTCATTTCTGGCTTCAGCGGAGTGTTAGCGTGCTGCTGCTGCTGCTTTCATTCATGTCTGAGCATCAGACGACTCACCAGGAGGAGACCTGAAGGAAGGACTGAAGTCAAGACCGGATGTGCTTTATGTAGACAGAGAAACTCTTCATGTTGTGAATATCTGACCTCAGAACTTCATCAGTACAGCAGACAGACATTTAGGAGGAAGAACACATCTGGTAGAAACTGACACCAGATCAGCTCTACATCCATCCAGGTGTCAGAACTGGTTCCAGCAGATCTCCATGGCTGAAAGCTCCAACAGAGGACAGAGTTTTAATAACTGGCCTTGAAAAATAGAAAACAAACAGTTCAACATTCACTAAAACCTGCTTGAATATTTCTTTTTGCTAATAGACTGACATAAAACTGTGACATTTTAATGAATTAGTGACTTGATAATCAGTTAAAAGAACATAGAACACATTTTTACATTCCAACATGATGACTTGACCACATGATAATAACCATAATAATGATAACCACGTGGTTTACTTGGAGATTAAAGTTTTTCTGAGTTTGCTTCACATGTTTGTGCGACTGAAGCTGTATACGTTCAGAGGTTTGTAACCGATTCCCACCAACACACACCGACAGCAGAGTGTTGGTGTGACGTTGTGTTCATGTGTTGTGTGTCTGTGTGATTAATGGAGGTCATTAAATATGCAGGGCTGGAAGGAAAGGCCTGCTGGCTCGTATTAATCACCTCAACGGCAGTTTGTGTCCAGTCAGAGTTCATGTGTTTGATTTTACAGCATGAAGACGTTGAACTGGTTGTATTTGTGTTTCTGATGCGACTCGCTGAACGCGTGGACAGAGTGTAGAAGGTCATGAAGGTAAACATGTTCTCAGCTCTTTTCCTTCCTGCTGCTGCACTTTTGCTCCTTCACTCCCAGCTCACCTTCTCCTGCAGCTTCGCCTCCTTTTCTGTTTGATGTCGTTGCTTCATCCTGCTGGAATGCAGACGTGGAGGTGGAGGTGGAGGTGGAGGCCGCCGCTGACGCTACGCACAAACACATGTTTGGGTTCCTGTATTAATGCGTTGTCATGGACTTCCTCATCCGCTGCTTTCTTCTGGCGGTGCTCCTTCATCATCCTGAACGCAGCCACTCGGTTGACTCGCTCTGCGTCTCTGAGCTCGTTTGTTCTCTGAAGCCTCCTGATGACCGACTGTTCTGATTACTGCTGGTTGTGTGTCTCACTGTGACCTCTGTGTGTTTCTTAGTGTGTTTGCTTTAGTTAGAAGTCGGTTTAGTGATAGTTATCAACTGATGTTTGAATAACTGTTCCCTGAATAAAGCACAGCAGACAGACGCTCTGTGACCTCTGCTGCATGAGAGGACGACTGACGTTCAGCTTCACTCATGAGAACGTTGGTCCCAGTTCAAACACATGAGCTCTGATGGAGACGAGATACAAACTAGAAGCAACCAAAAAGACATAAAAGACAAATAGGTGATACAACTAGACACTAAGCAGCATAAATGAGACACAAAATGACAAAAATAACATGAAAAAAATGTGATTAAACATGAAACAAAATGACAAGAACTGGAGAGTAAACCAGGAAAAAAGGCACAAATAAGCCACAAAATGACAAAAGTCAGAATAGAAAACAAGAAGGAGCCACCTGGTGCAGCTTCTGCCTCGTCAGCTGATAGATGCTTTAATTGATCAGATTATTAACGGCCTCCAACATGAACAGATGAACTGCTGGTGACTGACATCGTAGTTGGAGACCAGCTGTTCACACGTTGCATCAAGGCTGGTGTAAAGAAACTGGATTTAAAATGATTTAAACTCAACGGAGACCGTGATGAGTGTTTTGTTTGTTTTATTTTTTGATGTTGAACTCCACATAACAGACAGACAGGAGGGTTCCCATCCAGAAGACCCAGAAACGGTCCAAAATGACCAATAAAAGCAGGAAACTGTCCTTTACAGAGAGTCAGAGGAAAGAAAGAGGTTGGTGCTGGGTGCACTGCCTCCTTATGGGTTCAGACACGTGGCGCCTCGTCGCTGCTCGTTGACATACAAGGTAAAGCTCTGCTGCTGTATAGACATCAGGGCTTCAGCCGACACCTGTGGAACACGTTTAACCTGTTGTTGATGTACGGTCAGCTTCAGCAGCTGCTTTCTCACCTCAGATGTCTTCAGAAACGTTTCCTTCCTGTGTGTGGCCTGTGGGAGGAGCCGAGTCTCACCTCTGCCTGGCTGTGCTGCTCTGTGTGTTTCAGGGGAAGGTGGCCCAGACGGCCTGCATGTCGGCCTGCAAGCACATCTCCACCTCGCTGATGCAGCTGCTGCTCGACCCGGAGGTCCGACAGATCTCCATGGGGGCGCTGCACCAGCTCAACGCCGACATCCAGGAGTGTGAGAGTGAGTGTCCACGCCGTCTGTGTGTTTCCTACGCTACTGTGCAACAGCTGAGACCAGGATGTGCCTAAACACTGAACAGTCTGACCCTGAACAGACCAAAGGACACATCCTCTGTTGTTCATTAGCACCTGAAACTGTGGGTTTGTTTCCTCCAGCGTATGAAAATGTCACCAGAGTCTAGTTAATGTTTGGAAATCTAAAATTCTATTTCTGTTGAGACACAAATCCAGAAAACATCAAATACCTCTCAGAGCAGTGTCGTTGTTGCACAGTACTGGACATTTTATTTTTATATGTATATCCTTCTTGTGTGTTTCTTGATGCCTGTTTTCTTTGCCACCCTTTGCATAAACATTTACTAACAGCTACAGACTCACCACATAAGAAAGGAAAGTGACGACATCTTTCTCCGTTAAGGCTCGTTTTCAGTCTGGCAGCACAAACACAAGTTTTACAGTTTTCAAATTAAGTTTCTCCGACTAGTTTTCATGTTATTTTAAAGGAAGCTTAAATGAATGAGTACGTCTGATTGGCTTTTCTTGCAGCCGTTAAGTTATGAGAATCCTGGATTAGTTTTAGTGTTAATTTTCTTTTGACTTTAACCAAACGACAGTGTGAAGTGAACTCTGCTTCTCCTGCAGTTTGCGTTTGAGAGCACAGGAGGCGCTATGGAACAGCTGGTTTCACAGCTAGAGCAGAGCATCTTCGGCAGCCCGTTCTCTCAAAGTTTTTGTTCTCGTCTCTTTTCTTCTCGCCTTCTGTCTCCTCCTTCGGTTCTTTTCGTCCTCTTCTTCCCTTTCAACCCTTCAGCCTCCTTCCTCCTCCGTCCTCCCCCGGCTCCCTGATCTCTGAGTCGGGGGATGAAAGCGGCGTCGTTGGCTCGGTTCTAACGTGATCAGGGCTCTGAGAGTCACAGCCCGGGTCACGCTGATGTGCAGTGACATGCGTGCAGTGCTGCCGAGGGGTTAGGAGGTTACCGAGCTGCTATGTGGGGCAGCCGAGGCCCGGGCGGTCAGGAGGTGGAGCTGGAGGAGCAGCACTGGGTGGAGGGAAGCCTAGCTGAGGGTTACTGCTGCCTCAGGAGAAGTGTGACAGCAGCAACAGGGAGAGTGCAAAAGATGCTTCTGCATGTCACAAACAGGAGTTGCACAGTAGAAAATATAGATATCGCTGATGTAGGAAAAGAAGAACCCCAGCAGACGGAGCCAGAGGGATGAAGCGTAGAGAGCAGCTTCATGTGACGGAGAACGAAGCAGAGATAAGAACGTGTCCAAATGTGCTCACCAGCAGCATTTAGAGTTGTCACAGGTTTGTTCCTGCCTCTGAAACAGCTCTGCCAAGCTCCAGGTTCACAGCAATGAGCATGGATCCAACCATAGACAGGAGCTTCACAAGCTGAATGCTGTAAAAAGCCCAATGTTCAGATTTTCATGGTTTTGATCTGGGAACAGAAACACGTTTTATCTGTAAAGCTGTTGAATATCTCCAGAAATCAGACTGCAACAGACATGAAATGTGGTGACAGAAGAGCCTCCATCAGGTCAGAACCACTGAATGGATCCAGCAGAGAACAGTTCAATTATTGGACCTTGAAAATGGAAAAACGTGCGAAACATATCATCAGTTCATCTGGTCGGTGTCTGTTTGGGAACATTTGGCAAAATCTGTTGTTACACTTCAACAGAAAGTCAACATGCAGCATCTTGTAGCTCTGCACACCTAGAACCAACACCTAGAACCAACATCTAGAACCAACACCTAGAACCAACACCTAGAA